GAATCTATCTATAGCGAATATAAATATTAAACGAGAGTCTAGGTATACTCTAATAGATTAATAGGTATACTTTAGGTCTAATACGCTATATAAGCTAATCTATAGGTCTATTAGCTTATTATAGACTTTATTTAGCTAGGTAATTAATATCCTAGGTATCTCCTTAATTACGTAGCTATAGTTAAAGGTAAGTCTATACTTAGCCTAAGGATCTACCTCCTATCTAGACTTAACTATTAAGACTAGTTCTACTCTCTAATCCGATAGGGTACTATTTATTAATAATATAGACTTATATATACTTACCTCGATACTATCCTAGATTAGTTTATATAGCTAGTATTACTCTATTAGTATTCGATATTTCCTAGAGGACCTATTCTATAGCTATATTCCCGGTTTTAAGTATATATAGTATTTATATAGGTCTATCGGTAGGATATTATATATTAAATTTATAGTAAGCCTATAATAGGTATATAAGGTCCTTATTATATCCTTATATAGGTTATCTAGTATTAATAGCCTAAGCGTATATCCCGAGTCCTTAATCTATTATATAATAACTCCTATAAATATAGTCTTATCTATTAGTAAGCGGTCTATATACTATTTAGTCGGGAAATATAGACTTAGATAATATTCTATATTAGTACCTTTAGGGGTAGTCCTCTAGAGCTCCTTATCTAGGTCTAGTTCTATAGCTATAATTAAGGAATATATTCTTAAATAGTTAGTCTCCGTTAATAGTTAGCTATTTTAATAGTAATATAGGCCTTTTACCCTTATATATAATATACTATTATATATAGCTACCCTTAGAGTATAAAAATATAACTATACTAGGTAGGTTCTAGTTAAGTAACTAAATCCGCTAATAATATTATTTAGGTATAATTTTCCGATTTATCTAGGTCGAATAGGTAGGATTAGTTTTCTAAATTAGATTAAGCTTCTATATCTATATCTTTAATATTATTAGAGTCGTCCTAGTAATTATTAGCCGATAAGTCGTTAGCGTTAGTATTACTATCTAGGTCTTAGTATAGTATTATTATACTCTCGGGGTCTAATAGTATCCTCTATCTCGTAGAAGGGTAAAGTCTAGGGCCTTATAGCGCTCTAGCCTCCTCCTTCCTAGCTAGGTTACTAATTATTAGTTAGCTATTCTGAATATCTAGGTATACGTTTACTTCCTAGAGCTAAGGGAGGCCTAGTATTAATTATACTCTATAGGACCCGTAAAAATTAAGTCTAACGATAGCCTAGATATCCCTCTATAAGCTATCCACTATAGCCTTAAGGATATAAATTCTTATATAGGG